ATCCAAGCCCCGGCTACGCTGGGGCAGGAGCTGCTGGAGGGAAGCCGGTTCCGCGTGGGGGGACCGGAGGATCACACGGAGGTGTTACATGTTTGTGGGTTTAGCTCTGGATTAAACACCTTTAAAAGGCTCTTTAGCCTAAGCATGGGCTGTTGCGACTGAGTTTATCATCGCGCTGCCTTCCCACCGCAGCAGAGGCGTCACTGAAAGGACCGGCTCGCGTTTGGTTGTTTGCGTGTGCGCTCCTTCTGTGATGAAATAATGAAGCGTGTCTGGGATATGGGCGTCTGTAGAATGTTGCTAATTAAGTTTTTGTTTGCTTGTTTTGATGATATGCTCTTCTTGAAGAGACATTCTTTCGAAGGGGTCTCTTCGTAACCTCTTGCGCTGTTCTTGGAGGAAAAGAGGGTGTGTCTGTGACAATGGACGAAGTTCTGACAGTTCTTCATTTGCACGCTTCCGTATTTTGTGTTTGTGTCATGATGTAACAATGTATATATCATGACAGCATCATATATAACATGTACATGCAATCCATGATATGTGTCATAGAACGTATTTTATCATAAGATAAAATACATAAGTGAAGTAGTACTCTGTTTGTTTGTTTTAGGGTGTGTGTTTTTGTGGTTTTGTCATTTCCTTTTTGGTAAATTGACCCCAATGCCTGGCTCCGGGCACTGGTGTACACGAGTGCTGTGTGTTTGCTACCTGGGCTTCCCTGCGAGTTACTGGGCCATGCAGGATTTGATTGCCATGTTCCATCATCCAGGATCTGCATGTTTATGACAAGGCAGGTGTCAGAACCAGTTTAACATCAGAGAAAATGTTTGATTCCCTTCCCAGCCTGTGTGAAGGTCTTTTTATTAACTTGTGAAAGTAAAACCACCTGTGATTGTTAAAACCAGTGGGAATCCTCAGAGGAGGCAGTGGGATGAATGCTGGCACAGGCCAGCTCTGGGCATTTTGGCCACAGTACTGGTTTTGTTCCCTTCCTTAGGTGATATGTTATAAATGCTGTTGTTTTCACTAGATTTTTCTCACAGAGCTGAGAGCAGGAAGGAGAAATGCTAATATGAATACACTTTGTTTCATTAATTTGGATATGACTCTTAAATGTCATCTGTTCTTAATTACCTTTTCTTTTTCTGAAATGTTCAAAGTGAGGTTAATGAGAAACAAAGCCTTTGCTTTTCTTCTCAAGTCTCTTTTAGTGAAAATAATGTTAGAGCTGCACCAGCTTTTTCTTGTTGGGTTTCTAGAATACAGAGGGAAGACCAGGAGACTCTGAAGTATCGTCTTTAACTTTGACATCAGTATGATGTTGTATAGATTTCTTAGCTTAGATGAAGGTTTTCTGAAATTAAGAGAAATCTGGTGACATATAAGTCCATCAGGTAGGACAGATCATTAAAGTTGTGGTAAGTGCATACTGTAATTATTTCTCATTTTTAATTCTGCTTCTAGATCCTTGCTTATTTGACCTAAATTAAGTGATGGAATCATACACTAAAGAAAAAACATCATCCTTGGGTCTTTGGTGTTCATGTTTATGTGAAAGAATCTAGGATGTTTCAAGAAAAGGTGTCAGCAAATTGCTTAAATATAGTACCAACATCTACTGAAGATGATGCTTTCCAGAAAAAGGGCCATAGTGCTCGAGTCCTTAGCCCAGAAGAAGCAGAAAAACTGGCAAAAGATCAGGTTTTGGTATCTGAGTTCAAACAGCTAAAACTGGAGAAAGAGGCACAGAAGAACTGGGATCTGTTTTACAAAAGAAACAGCACCAACTTCTTCAAGGACAGACATTGGACAACCAGAGAGTTTCAAGAGTTAAAGGCATGTCGTGAGGTGAGATCTGTACAGTTCTGCTGTAAAAGATGGGATTGATTGTTTCCAATCAGTTGTTTCCAGGGGAGTTAATAATACTTAGAGCAAAGCCATTTGGCTAAGAGCTGCCACATGTAAAGTTTGCAGTGCCCTGTGTGTTTTCTTCTAATAAAAAAGATAACTTCTCAGAATCACATGCATCAGTTTAGTTCCAGTTTATATTTGGCCCTTACTGGATGGGGGTGCTGTTCATAGCATCCTGGATGCTGAGAGTGCAGTCTGGAATATTTGGTTTTTGAGTCCTAAAGTGGACAGCTTGTCTCTGTGTGTGCAGGCTGGTGCACTTCAGTACACAGCTTTAGAGAAAAGCATCCAGAACTGCAGGCTGAACACAGTTAAAGGGAATAGTCAGATGCATCTGTTGTTCCTTACAGCTGAGTGAAAGACAAGACAGAAATAGCACAAGTCTGTTGATTACTTAAGAGATAGATGACTGAAGAAATATTAATATGTTCTAAAATGATTTCTAATTTTGTGGAAATTCAGGATGTCTGGGTTTTAATGTCAGATTATGCAGTGGCTGTCTACTTTAGTTTTTTTGAAGAATCATAATTAAAATTGATTATAGCTTTTAAAATACTGGTTGAACAGTGCCTCTGCTCATGTGATGAGAAAACAAAAATGATGTTTTGTCTTGTATTGCTCTCTCCCCAGTTTGCAGATCAAAAGCTGACCATTCTGGAAGCAGGCTGCGGGGTTGGGAACTGCTTGTTTCCACTCTTAGAAGAAGATAAGAATATTTTTGCATATGCCTGTGATTTCTCTCCTAGAGCTGTTGAGTTTGTGAAGGTTGGTGTGATATTTGGAACTTCTTTTAGAGTGTTTTTTAGAAGCTTCTAAAATTGCAAATGACTGTAACAACAGACTTCTCTTGACTTCCTTTTTGTAGGAAGGGTGGGATATGCTTTGCCAAAAAAATTGACTGATGCATTTCTGTGGAGATCCTGTGTAAGAAGCCAAATCATTGCTCCAGACTTGGCTTTTCAGTGTCAAATTAGAGCATTATGGTGTATTACTTGAATGATTTATGAAGATAGTTTTTTTTTTTTTTTTGGGTGCACTACTATGTCTCTGCTGACTGTGCAGTAAAAACAAAATTTCGTTTGTCATGGAAACTTGCCCTTAATAGAGGGAGTCCCAAGGAGAACCTTAAAAACAAGGCTGGGAATTATTGTTAAAGGGATTTGTAACCTGATTAGGAGTAGGTATGTTTACACTTAGTTATGGGCACTGCAGTCCAAAGTGGAGCCTTGCAGCAGGGCTGGTGGGAGCTTTGGACATTAAAAGTCTTTATGAAGTTTGTAATCACAGGTAAATTTCCATATATCTGTTAACTGAAAGCATTGTGACCAAGAACCACAAGACACAGCATTTATCATGTGAAAGATGGGAAGAAAAATGCCTGTGGCAAACAGAAGAGGACAGCAGCTCCCTGGGATGCTGTGGCTACACCCCAGGATGAGGTTGGGCTGAGCCTGTGCCCTGGGTTTTGGATGATTTAAGGGCATCTGCCTCCACAGCTCTTGCTGAATTTATTTTTTTTGCCAAGATTGTGTTTTCTTTTTTTTTTTTTCCATAGCAAAACTGGGGCTAGAGCAGCCCAGCTGCAGATTGTGTGGCAGGAACCCCAACTGTTTGCAATCTACCTGTAGCTCAAAAGCTTTACTTTTATCACCCTGTAATATGTAATTTCTTTCAATAGAGTTTAAGTATTCTTTAAAGAGTAGAAGCAGGAGTAAAACAGAAATTGTATGTTTTTGAATTGTCTTAATGCACATTCCTTCTCAAATTTGTGGGAACAGGCTATTCTTCTAGTTGTAGTTTCACTTCTTTTCTTAGCAGCAAAGAATTTCTGATAGCAGTAACCACCTGTTGGAGGTTAATATTATCTTGCCACTCTGTTTTGTGTCTCTCTACTGATTAATTTCACGAGAATTTTACTTTATTGTAGCAACAAATGCTGCTAATTTTCAGTGAAAGCTTGTTCTTTTAATGTCCCTAGAAAAATGCCTTATATAGTACTGAAAGATGCAAAGTGTTCCAGTGTGATCTTACCAAAGATGATCTTCTAGACAATATACCAGCAGATTCCGTGGATGTTGTCACACTTATATTTGTGCTTTCTGCCATTCATCCTGACAAAATGCATCTTGTCCTGAGGAACATTTACAAGGTAAAACCAGCTGATTTTACGGCCTTTAAAGCACTTTAAAGCACTTTCCTTCTTTTTAGCTCAAAAGTATATTTTTTATCTGAGAAAATTACTCTCTTGCAATGGTGATTTTTCATATTATATTCCATGGATGTATTTTGTTAGTTCACTGAGTAGGCAGGACTAAAATATGTTTTACAATTTCCTTTTTTTTTCTTCTGGTATTGTGAGATTGTTTGGATTGAGGCCTAATTCATGCCATCAGTGTAACAAAAATATACATAATATACGGCCTTAATGTACCTGAAAGGGGCTTACAGGAATTATGGAGAGAGATTTCTACAAGAAAGACCATGTAGTGGCAAGGAAGGGGGAATGGCTTCAAACTGAGAGTGGGTTTAGATTAGATGGTAGGAAGAAATTCTTTAGGGAGGTGCTGGAACAGGTTGCCCAGAGAGGCTGTGGATGCCCTCCTTCTGGAAGGGTTCAAGGCCAGGAGAGATGGGGCTCTGAGCAACCTGATCTGGTGGAAGTTGTCCCTGTCCATGGCAGGGGGGTTGGAAGCAGGTGATCTTTCAGGCCCCTGCCATCCCAGGCCACTCTCTGACTCTGTGATTTTAAAGCTGTGACTTGGGCTGTATGCTATGAATAATGTTTATATATTGCAGAGCTGTCTGTGTTCATAAGGTGTGAATGATAGTGAGCCAAAATTAACTTCCAGAGATCCAGTGACCTGCAGTTAGGATGCTGCTGTTATTATGAAACATATTTCACCTGTGGTGATTTAACAGTGGAGTGTTCAGAAGTCAGCATTAGAGAGACTCACCCCTCTAAGCTGTCTTTGTTAGTTGGCAGACTAGGACAGGCCCACCCAAAGGGTGATTTAAACAACCTGAACTGTGACTGTTCTGAATTTTCCTGAGATATTGACATATTTTTTTCCTATTGCATATGTGTGTATAATAAGTCTTGTGTTTCCTGATAATTATTTGGTTTATTCTCAGCAGTTTGAAAAAGGAAAATTAGGAGGTTTTTTTGTATATCTCCAGCTGTTTTCCAAAATCAGGATTGGTTCTTACCTCATATAAGTATTTAGATACCTAAAATCAGTGTGGTAAATCAGCAATGACCATGTATTTATAATTTCTAAACTCCTTATGGCTTCCTTTCTTTACCAAAAAGCAATGTTAAAAATCCATTTTGCACTTTGCTAAAATGGTTTCTTATTTATTTCGCAACGTATTGCAACATGTTTCTTTCTTCCATGAAGAAAGAAATGTCACAATATCGCAAATTTTATTGTTAACCATTAAAATCAGGTGCTGAACAGGATACTAGCCAATAGAAAAAAATTCCCTGATGGGAATTTTTGTTAAACTGTGTATTTTATTTTCTCTGTGTTTTAAGAGTGTTGCCAATTGCTAAGTTGCTAATTTAGCTGATCAGCACCCATATAGGTATTCTAAAACTAATTATAGCCTTTTATTCATAGGGGAATATTTTTAAGAGTCAATCCAGTTTTTGCACCACCTTTTTGTGGCACAGGGAATAAATTGTATATGTGTCTATAGATGTAGATATCTATCTCACTGTTGTATTGACTATGTTAGTCTACATTCTCTTAGTTACCTGTGTAACTATATACTTTATATGTGTACACAAATAAATGTACCTATGTATGACTAAATCTGTTTATTAAAGCCTGTGTGTATTATGTGACAGGTATTAAAACCAGGCAAGTGTGTCCTGTTCCGAGACTACGGCCTGTATGATCATGCAATGCTCAGGTTTAAATCAGGCAGCAAACTTGGGGAAAACTTTTATGTCAGACAAGATGGGACAAGGTCTTATTTTTTTACTCAAGGTAAGACATGTTCTAGAGTGCTTTCTTTTCTGTGCATCTTCTGTTCAGACTTTCTCCAGCAAACTGCCAACATGCCCATGGAAGTTTTATTTTGTGTGGATGAACTGTTAAATTGTGGTTTATTTCATTTACCATCCTTTTGGGAAGAAGCAGTTATTTGGACTGGCAGAACTTCATGGAGCACTTTCTTGTTTATAAGCTTGTTGTGTGTGCTATAGTTCTCCAAGAGCAGGAGTTTCTGAATTAGCTGAATTTCATTCAGATTTGTTACCTAAGGGGAAAAGGGCTGTGTTCAATAAGAAAATTAATCACCTTCATGAAGCAAGTAAGCAGTTCTTTTGGTGTCATTTTTTTGTGCAGGTGAGCAGGATGAGGTGTATTGACTTCTAAAAGCAGAACCACGACTGCGGCACTGAGAAGCTCGTGCACAAATCCTGCTGGGATAGCACTGACTAGCTGTGGTCACTGTCTTCTAGGGTTTGGTTTTTAGTGAAGACAATGCAAAAAACCATCTCCATGTGATACAGTATTTAGTTTTTGTTCAGTGCTCATAATGGTTTAGGAGGAAGGGTACTTGTTGCAGTTTACTGGTGGAGAATTTGAAGCACAGAGACACGAAGGAATTGCTTAGACTCTCACAATGAATTGGGTTTACAGCTTGGCTATAGCTTCTAACTCCCAATTCCTCATGCTAAACTCACTACTCTCCCCATCACTTGTAAGCATTGTGTAACAAGAGCTGTGAATTTATTTATGTGGGGTACTTTGTTCTTAAGTCTAAAGCAAGATACAGCTGCTGAAGAGACCGATTTGGAGCCAAGTAAATGTTATTCATATTTTATGCCATAACATATTGACTAATTGCTTCTGATACATAAAAACCATTAATCTTGTCTGAGCTCCCCCTATTCTTCATAGGACAATGATGAAATTTAAGATAATGCAGTGCTACAAGTTCATTGAAGCATTTCTAGAACTGTTATTTATTGAGTGATTTTTAGTTCTGTTTAAACAATTAGCTCTTACAAAGAGAATAGATGCTAAAGGGAACAAACAAGAGACTGACCTATCTCTGGAATTTTAAATCTAATTTTTATTGTGTTTTAGAATAGTTTCTGAATGAGAAGTTCCTTGCTAGTATGCATATTTCCCTTGCAAAAAGAATTGAGGTAGGGATGAGGAACAGGAAGGAAGGAGAAAAGAGATAATATATTTTATATGGCTTGTGTCAGCAATTGTTTTTCCTTGGGCTGGTCTGTGACTGTCTCACACATCACCTCTGTTCCCATTTTTAATCATTATGATCTCATTCATTTCACAGATTTTCATATAAACGTTGCTTAATACTTGAGAGTTCTTTTGTTACTGGAGACATGACTCCCATCATTTCCACAGAGGTTGCAACTCTTGCTATTTTTAATTTCTTTAGCACTACTTTGGTACACCAAGTTATTGCCGCATGGGGTGATTTGAATTATACTTGTTTATAATATGGCAGATGGCAACACCAAACTTCTTCCATGGGAAAAAAAAATTCCATTCTTCTACTGTTTGAAATAATATTAAATTTGTGGAGGAATGCATGGTTGTAGTTTTGTATTATGAAATATGTGGAACTTCCTTACAATAAGATTTCAATAGGTCCACAATGGAGTGCTGTTTATTTCTATTTCATTGGTGTGGGTGCCCATTTTACATGAACACAGCATGTTTACAGCCATGATGGGCTTGGGTTGATGTAATCCTGCAGTGCCACCACAGTGGGTGGTCACATCTTCCTCAACACACCATCTCTGGTGGTGCTTCCTGCACCCACATGATCGCTGTTTCATCGAGCTAATCCCCCTGAGCAGTGAAAAATTGAATGTCTTTGTTTTCTATCAAGTAACACAAGTTTAGAACAACTTGAATTTACTGTGGAATTGCTGCCTAAGTGAACTGAGGTGCAGGAAAGGAAAGATTATGATTTTTAATTAACATGACAAGTCAATAGCATGAGCAGACCTTCATGCTGCACAGGTCACTCTGTTTGTGAGGTGCTTCTGCTTTCCTTAAGGGAAATAGGCTCTGAGTGAAATTTTTTTGTTTATGGAAAATACTTTCAATTCAACTTAGTGGAGTCTTAGTACCACCATATCCTCTTGGCCATTTTGTCAGTTTTTCTGTTGAGCAATTGCATGTGATATAAGATGTTATTCTTCCCTGAGCAGAGGTCCATCTGCACAGCTGGAATACCTTTGAAATATCTGTGGTAAGTGATGTATTCAGCTGGTGAAGGTCAGCTGCACAAAGGGAAAATGCACTGGTGTCAGTCACAATGAGAATGACAAGGCTTAATAAAAATAAGAGATGTGGCAATTTTTGGAAATTCAACTGAGTAGCTAGCTTAAGCCCCAGTTTTACAAGCTGTTTTGCTTAGGTTGATGTTTCCAAAGGAGATCTTTATTGATTTTTATTCAGCAGTCTGCCCACATAGAACAGCTTGAAATCTGAAGGCCTGTATGATTTTCATGCTGTAACACATAAGAACATATGCTTATATAAATGCTGTCTAGTGTTTTAAAAATAGCTTAAACATAATATTTCATCTTCTTTTTTTTTTTATTCTCTTTCAGAGTTCTTATCTCAGCTTTTCAAGGCTGAGGGATATGAGCAAGTGGTCAATGAATATGTGCAGCGAGAAACTGTGAATAGGAAAGAAGACTTGCGCGTTCCAAGAGTTTTTCTTCAAAGCAAGTTTCAAAAGCCTTTCAGGGAGACATGAGTTCTTGCTGATCAGCAACAGCATTGCTTGTTTGAAATGGAAACTAGCACATAAGCTGTGTGCTCATCTTTCTGGTGAACCAAAAATGTTGGCATCCAGTACCTCTTGTTGGTTTCCATCCTAGGATACAAAACATGAATTCTATTTCTAATTCAACCTTAAGACTGTTAAGTGATGCAGGCAACCTGTTGAGCATCTGTATTCCTGCTTCTAAAATAAAACCTGTGCCACATTGTTGGAGGATCATGTAAAGCATATAAATAAACTTCCATTTTTATTAAAAATTATTTTTAAATAAGTATCCTGTGTTTCCTGTCACTTGTGATTTTTGAGGCTTGTTAAAGTTATAGTATTTCATTTACTTCCAGTATTTGTAGGACTTCTGAGTGTACTTTCTCAGATACAGGAGTGAAGCAGACTCAGTGAGCAGTATAGTGTAAGCTGCCTTAATATTTTAATAATGGTATCTTTTTAATATACTCAGCATTTAGATGTGTAAACAAATGTTTATATTCTAAGGCAGATCCTAATTGATCTGATTAGGTCCTAATTTTTCTGATTTCATGCTCAAAGAAGCATGTTAGTGGATAAGGTTGTATTTATCCCTAAATAATTTAAGATGTTCTTCATTTAATGTGCAGAAATATTTGAAGTTTTGCGAGTCAGTTTCTTGTTTGAAACTGAAATCAGCAAGTCAGGAGCATTTCTTTGATATGAAGTGTAGTCAGCTGCTTCTTTCCTAGGCAGAGTATGTGGTTGTTTGACTCAAGCTGTCATTGCACTGGACTTGTGTGTTGTTAGATGACCCAGTCATACACATCTGATGTGGACCAGAGGTGACTTTTTCCCTCTGTTTATGACATAGGATATAATAATGAATTTTGTTTCCCCAGGTTCTTAACACTGGGTGTATTGTGCATGAAACAAAAGAAGTAATAATTTTCCAGCCTGAAGCTTAATGTTACAAAGTTAACCAGTCAAATTTTCTTTAACAAATTGGAGCTGCCAAAGGTCTTATTGAGTTGATATGGTTAGAAATAAATTTGCAACAGATCACAAATCTTTGGCCTCAGAGAAAAAAAAAAAGCTTAAATCATTCACAATTCTCCTAATGACCCTTTGAGGAGGGTTATTACATGTCATCTCCTTTTTTTTATGGAGAATATTATCCCAGAGATTTATGCATTGCTGGCCCCTGCTGTGCAACCCATTAGCTCTTTCTGCCATGCTAGTAATAAATATCTAGTAACACTTACAGTAAATGAAAAGCTATTGCTAAAAAGAGATATAATGGTGACAGCACTATCCTAATCTGAGTTATCATTATTTGGTGGCTTTCATCAGCACATGTTCATCTTTATCATGCCAGTTTTGCAATGACTATGTGTAGTCTGAGCTCTGTTGATATTTAGTGGTGCTTGCAGCCTGTAACTCCAAGTGCCTTTCAGGACTGCAGGCTTGTTCCTTTTGGAGTACACAGCACATAAATGAGACTGGAGAAATGCCTTGCATGGTGCCTTATCATGGGGCTGTGTGCTTGTCATCACATGGAAATCCAAGTGCAATGAACTGCTCATCCCCAAAAGGAAATGAGATGTAGGCAAGAATCAAAAATATTAATCAGATGACCTGAGTCAGCCCAACAGACTTAGCTAATAGACTCAGACAGCCACTGAGCTCCTTTTTACACTGAACTATTGCCAGAACAATAATTCATGTTTTTGTGTGTGGCTATAGTTTCAATATTTCTGTGTACACTTTTTTGTGTAGCAGCATGTTAAATGGAGTGCAATATTTCTAACTTTTTTATTATATCTCATTCAGTCTCATTTCCAGGCAGACCTGCAAAATGAAGTAGCATGCTTTAGTGCCCCTGCCAGAAAGATCTTCTGCTATAGTTCTCATAAAGCAGATGTTATTTTGAGATGAATGGTCAGAAAGGTTAATTTAGTTTCTATGACTCTGCTTCTGTGAACTTTAAATCATGGCAAATTTTTGTAACTGTGGTAAAGTTTGAGGAAGTTGAGTCAGCTTTAAGAAATCCTTGCCTCATCCTGTGAGACATAGTAACAGAGGCTTAGATGGGGTGCCTGTGGTTGCTGCAGGGCTGACTAAAGGGGATCTACTCCACCAACTCTTCAGCTTTCCCCAGCTCAAGTAAGCTCACCAGCAGCTCATGCCAACAATACCTGTACCTTGTATCCTTACTTGACCAAACTGCAGTGATAGGACAAGGAGTTACTGGTTCAGAAAGAGGGGAAATTGAGGTTGGATATATGGAAAAAATTCTTTACTGTGAGGGTGGTGAAGCACCAAGAGAGGTTGCCCACAGACGTTGGGGGTGCTCCTTCTCTGACAGTGTTCAAGGCCAGGCTGGATGGGGCTTTGAACAACCATGGCAGGGGGATTGGAATTAGATGCTCTTTAAGGTCCTTTCCAACCCAAGTCATTCTGTGTAGAGCTGTCCTTGGGGAGATGTAGCAATCAGGGATAATGTTGTTAAAATGACTTGAAAAAAGCATATATGCACTGAATCATGCTCACCTTACACAAGCAAGCCACTGTGCTGTGATTGTAATAAATGTCCTGATTGTTCTTTGATTTGTCTGCAGTCAGTGGAGACAATTGAGTCACTGCAGAGGTGACTCAATTGTCTGAAGAAGACTGGCTTTTTGTTCCCCTTAAGATGAACTAGCTGCTACATTTGGCAAGCATAAGTAGTAAGTTCCTTTATGCCAACACCCTGTTCTGAGCAATACTTAGAAAAGAAGAAAATAATTGTTGAAGTAGTGGGACTGAGAAAACCCTTTTTTTTTTAATGATTTGGTGCCCTGGGCTTACATTCTCTGATGTTTAATAAAGTTTGAACTTGGATTAAGGTTTTTCCTGAAGTCAGGGAATCCTAAATGCCACTTTTCAGTGTGGGATTCTTTGATGTCTTCTCCTGGAACTGGACATCATGTATTAAGGAATGATGTTAATGACGGCATGGGTAAGGTCTGACTGTCATCTATTTTCATCAAATTTACAGAAGTATGAAGTCTCTGAGTTCTCTGACATTGTGTGTCCTTTCTGTCAAAGGACAGCTTCTGTCAAATTTGATTGATGTAGTCTGATGTGTGACAACAAGCTAGGACTAGACAGAAACCCACACAGGTATTGTGTCTGTACTGTATGGATGGGCGAGCTTCCTTTCCTTAGAAATATGCACTACTGAGAAAGAAACATTTCAGGTGATAGTGTCACAGCAGGTTTTATGTGGTTCGTTTGGTAGCTAAAAAGCTATTTCAGGTGCATCTTCCAGGTATCTGAAAGCTCCTTGGGTTCCAAAGGCAGAATATTTAAGTAATTAATATAATATTAGAGCCATGGTTGATTGTGCATCACTTCTATGAAACCAAGTGCTATAAAAGTGAGACCTGAAACTCCAGCAGCTGTAAGCAGCAGCAGTCACTGTAAAACATACAGCCTTGGTCTCCTAGGAGAAAACTGGTATATGAAATTGGAAATGTCATTAATATGCTCACCTGCTATAATTTTTTTTTTCTTGATCTGTTGAACAGTTCATACATCTGAATATACTGAGAGACACAAATTACAAATTAAGAAGTGCTTTATGGAAGAGTTAGCTTATATATATTTATATATTTATATATTTATATAAAAATATATTTATATATTTATATATTTATATATTTATATATTTATATATTTATATATTTATATATTTATATATTTATATATTTATATATTTATATATTATATATATATGTGTGTGTGTGTCTATTTGGAGAGGATATCAGTGTTGAGCATCAGTGTGTGAAGGAAAAACGGTAAGATTATATTTAAATTTCTAAGAAAAAAAAATCCCGACTTTCACAGATCAGGGATGACGTATAATAAATTAAGCTGTTCATCTGAAAAATGAAATTTTGGAAATGGAAGCCTGCAGGTTCCAAAATTAGGGATGTTCCAGGGAGGCAGGAAGGTGGCATCTGATTGTGTGTGGTGTTAGTAATACATGCAAGACTCCGTGGGAAGCAGAATTTTATATTGCAAAGATATTGCTGAGATACACTTAGTGAAAATAGATAAGTATTTTTAAAGGAGTTTTACCTTACCATAATATAGCTGTGATGAATTTTTCACTGGTTATGGTTGCTATTAGGAAAGATTGTGAGCCATTTCAAACATTTGGGAGCAAACATTTGCTAGTTATACATACTGCAAAAACATCTGACCCTTGGGTGCAGTAGGCTCAGGATATGAATATGTTTGTGCTCTGTGTTTGTAATGTGAGTTCATTTATTAGAGCACAGGCAGATGGTGAGCCTGCACTGTGGGGAGGCACACAGAGGCATTGCTTGCAAAGATAGAAGCCATTAGCCAGGTAAGATGTTCCATTAGGGAACCTTTTTCATTCCCACTTCCTAGGCTGATGTGCACCGTTCATTGTGTTTGCAGCAGGGTCCTGTGAAATCAGGGAAGACAAGGGCACAGGAAAAAGACTACGTGATTCTTCCAAATTAATAGTGATTTTGTGTATTTCTACTTAAATGATTCTGTTTGTGACCATTTACCCTCTTTCCCAGCAAATTTTAGGTTTCAGCCTTGAAAAATTAGATTGCTTTTGAAAATCCTTGCCAAAGACATAGGCCTAACTTATATGCTTGAAAAACATATGATGTGAAATATTTAGAAAGGCAGCTGTGTGACTGAAAATACAAATCCAGCTCTGTTTTCCTCCTTTGACTTGAAAGAGACTTTAGACTTCACTGTCACTTCAGTGCTTTTTCACAGTTCCCACTTTGAGGTGCTGTGCTCTCTTAAGTCAGATGGCACCAATCAACTGCAGCTCTGCTTTCTGGTGCCTGTAGCATCCAGAGAACTTGGAATGGAAATAAATGAGGGCAGCTACAGGGAAAAGTCAGAAAGTAGGCAAATTACAGGTAGACAAGCCTGCTTACTGTCTAGGCTCCACTCAGTATTTTTCCACAGCCCATTTCTCTGGACCCTTGGATTGCTGTTGTAAACTTGGTACAGCAGAGATGCTGCTGTTCAAAGGAATAATGATATCTTCGTACACGTGGGATTGTTGTGCATCTGGAATTTAAGGATATTCATGTGCTTTTTTGGGATCTTTCCCTCCCAACTTTGTCTTCAAGCTTCTGTTTGAAATAGGACGCTTAATTGTAATTCTTATAATCTAATAAAAGTATTTTTCATTAAAATGTAACAGACTTGTTGATATTTTGCTAAAACCAGATTGTTCAAAAGCAGGATGGAAGAAGTTAAGGAGAG